TTACTATACCAAAAATGGGTCTCAATTTTCAGCTAAAAATCTGGAATATATCTTGTGCGAATTGAAAATTGATTTTGATAATATTCCATTCCTTTTTGACTTCTAATTGCTTCCAATCGACCCTTAGCACTTTTGAACCTTCATCGTGAGTCCCGACATAATTTTTGAGTATTTACACTTTAGTTTCTGAACTTTCACTTTCTTCCATTATGGTCATTTTTAACTTGTTTTTCCTTATTTCCGCTACATTCATCACTTGTCATGCAAAACATGAATTGCATAGAATTAAGCTATATTCCAACATATTAATCAACAATTGCTCATATTTTTTTACAATAAATTAAGTATGTAAAACGTACTTATCAAACCTCAACAGATTTATCGATGAAAATAAATATCTAACTGGCATATAAACATCCAAAGCATGGAAAATAAAAGATTATATTAGGAAATGCAAATTACCTCAGGCTCGCCACCATAAGAATTAAGTATTCTCATTGTAGGCAATGCAAATATCACTCTATTAGCTCTAATGCCAAAGTTTCTGTCATAGAATTTCATAGCTTGCTCTAGAGTACTTTTAGGTTCCACTGAATCTCGATTATCAAACTTATCAAATCGACAAACCATAAATGTCAAAAATCTCATATTGTCAATTTTAAATTGTCGGAGTTTCCCATAAATCGTCGGACAGAATTTATGTGTACAAGTAAACACAGATAAATACATACACACCCAAATATTCAGGTTATACAAAACTTACGAGTATAAAATCATTTCTGCGTCCACAATACTTGACAAAGTGAAGAACACCACTTTCTCTACGATCGAGAATTTAATCAGGAGAAAATTTCTCAGGAGTCTAAATGCCCATTGAAGCAAAAATGCGGAAATTAGGTTTCTGAGTAGCAGAAATTGGAAGCATTTGGTGAATGTCTGATTGAAGGCAAAACAAAGAAATCGAGAGGAATTGAAAGAAGAATATGAAAAGGATTGACGATTAATGCTGGCGAACGACGGTGGCTATTGCCATTGGTATCGGCAAATTGAAGGAAAGAAAGACCGTTGAAGTCAAACTAGAGTGTATTTTATACTCTTTATTTATAAAGCATTCTATTTTTCTATTTTCTTATTTTTGGGCAGTGGTGGGCCTAATTTAGGGAAATTACAAAAAATCANGCAATATCCTAATTGGAAGTTTATGGAACCACTTTAGAAAAGTCCATCTATAAAAGGAGTATGCCATTCAAAAAAATTGGGAAATTATAAAAAATCAGGTGTTTAAAGATCAATTTTTAAAAATCAGGTCTACAATTTATTTATTTAAAAATTAGGTACTATATTAAAACCCTAATTTATAACCTAATTTATCTCTCATCCCTCCCCCCTATATCTCTCTCTCCCCTCCATCATCTTCCATTCTCCTTCATTCTCCTACCCCTTTCCCCCTCTCCTCTCTCTGGGCGACAGTGTCGCGATAACGCTGCTCATTTCGTGACAAAGTCGTGACGCTGCCGTTCGAGCAGCAGAGTCGCTGCACGGCGTTCAGTCGCAGTGGTGGTGGGTGTGTATGGATGT